CTCGCACACAAAACCTCCTTTACCCCCTCCCTCCAACCTTTCCTAGGCCGACCCCTACCCCGCCTTCCTTCCACTACAGACTGATACACTCTTGAAGTCACTCTGTTTCGCTCCATTCTCTCTCTACATGTCCGAACCACCTCAACAACCCTTCCTCAGCCCTCTGGACAACAGTTTTGGTAATCCCGCACCTCCTCCTAACTTCCAAACTATGAATTCTCTACATTATATTCACACCACACATTGCCCTCAGACATGACATCTCCACTGCCTCCAGCCTTCTCCTCGCTGCAACATTCATCACCCATGCTTCACACCCATATAAGAGCGTTGGTAAAACTATACTCTCATACATTCCCCTTATATATTATATATATATATATATATATATATATATATATATTATATATATATATATATATATATTATATATATATATATATATATATATATATATATATATATATATATATATTATATATATATATTATATTATATATATATATATATATATATATATTATATATGTGTGTGTGTGTGTGTGTGTGTGTGTGTGTGTGTGTGTGTGTAAGGAAAAACCTTTGTTAAACGAAGAATTGGGAAGGATGGCTCCAATTCTTGGATCAAAAGCCTTTCAGCATCATGGTACCTCCCTTGAAGGGATCATATAAATGAGGATCGTGACACAAGTGCTGTAATTAAGGTTTTGTGAATAAAAAAAATAATTGAGTCTACCATTCACCATTTTCTATGTAATCTACTCCTTAGTAAGAAAATCTTCTATATTATAATAAGCACAAAGTGCAGTATAGTTTACATAGAAATAGTTGACAATTAGTTATGCAGAGCATAGCTAATTATTTTCATATTTAGATGTAATAATTACCAGAGTCCTGGTAAGGTGGAGAGGAAGGGAATGGGTGAAGTGAGAACAGAGGTAAGTGGCTCAACTAATTTCGTTTTTTTGCTTGATAATAGATATATTCACCTAACTGTGGCTGCAGGGATCGATTCATAACTCCTGGCACCAAATCTTCACTGGTCGCTACTAGGTCCACACTCTCCCTGTTCCATGAGTTTTATCATACCTCTTCTTAAAGCTTCCCTCAAAGGAGGTTCCTTGACGCTGGTGAGGGGCTCTTTATCTAGGCATTGGATCTGTCCTCGAGTTCTGTGAATTGAGCTTGAATACCTTTCATCCCCCTCCCCTCCACAGGCGCTGTATAATCCTTGCGGATTTAGCGCTCCCCCGTGATTATAATAATAATAATCTTAAAACTATGTATGGATCCTGACTTCACTACATCACTCTCCAGACTGTTCCACTTCCTAACAACTCTAGAAGAAATACTTCCTAACATCCCTGTGACTCATCTGAGTCTTCAGTTTCCAATTGTCACCTCTTGTTGCTGTGTCCCATCTCTGAAACATCCTGTCCTTTTCCACCTTGTCAATTCCTCAAAAGCAGATTTAAGATCAAGGAAGGTAGTGTAGGAGCTGTCAGTGTGAAGGGTGAAAAATGTGGTTATGCAATGATGTTTGAAACCATACAACAGGGGAGACAGAAATTGTTTGATTCTGTGCATGAAACGATTTAGAATCATCCTCTCAAATACTTTACACATGCAGTTATTAAGAGATATTGGGCGAAATACATTTTGTTGACTGGGCTTTGGAATGGGAATGATGAGGCTGTTGGTCTAAGATTTAGGTAGCTCCCCAGTTACATAGCTCATGTAAAGGTTTATCTGGTACTCGACATAGCAATCTGAGTATGTTGTAATACCATCCTTCCCAGGAGACATGGAGTTGCCCTTAGTGTTGCATCGAGTTCGAAGTTAGTGAAAGGAATGTTACAGTCATCTTCCTTGCTGAGCATAAAACAAATCAGTCTCTCCCTTGCATCATGTTTGTCCGTTAATTTGTTCTGTGTAATACTGGGAAGATTGTCATGGCTAGATGTAGCAGCCCAAGCACTGACTAACTCATTCGCCCTATGTAATCAAATCAAATCAACTCAAAGTTTATTCTCTATAAGGATTACAATGCGGGGTTTACAGATTTTGGTTATTGTGTGGTTTACATGTGGGATGAGGGTGCGCTATCTGACCAGTTCTGTTACCCTTAATTCTGTTTTTATCCTTCTATTACCACACACACGTGGTAATGCTTTATTTACAATTAGCAAAGTCAGGGTATTTTTCCAGAATGGTTTGTAATATACCACTGTGGATAAAACACTTTGACATATCTTGAACATTTCTGAGTTGTTTCTGAATTCATTAATTTTATCGCACTCCAGTACATAATGACTCAGGGTGTGACAATAGTCCATCTGGCAAAGGTTACATTTTGTTTGTTCTACATCTTGTGGTGGTGATTTAACCTCTCAAAAATACTTTTAACCCAGCCGGAGCCGGCCGGTAGTGACACACATGTGGCTCCTCCTGCATGGTAGAATGATGACAGATGGACTGACTGGTGTCAGTCTCCCTGAGTCTTAAGTCAGTAAAATTCAATTGAAGTTCTTTTCGCATTGTGGTTCTCAAACTGCTAACTGATAACCCAAGATTGTAATCTACTCCCTCTTTGAGAGAGTATAACTTAGCCAATTCATCAGTTCTGTCATGCATCTGAAGACCAATGTGAGATAGAATCCACATCATGTGCACTCTGACTCCACTGTCCACAATCTTTACCATACCTGTGTCTGGCTCCTGACACAAGCATGCCACAATTTATACTTAATGAGTTGAGAGCATTTGTGGATGACAGAGAATCAGTTACAATTAAAGTGTCAACTTTAGATACATAGACGCATTTAAGTGCAAGGAGTATGGCAAACAGCTGTTTGAAGGGCGGAGGCCCCACGGGTAGGGATTAAACTCGTGGCGAGTGAGTCGCCAAACTCCAGGCCAGCTCGTAAATCATATAGCATGAACAATAGAATATTCAATTCTCTTGTATTCATTATAAACTGAATTTAAAATTAAGCTCAACTAAGTGACTATATATACAAAATTACTCATACTGTTATTGCCTTATTAATCTTAAGTTAGCCTAAAGTTTGCCCGAAATGCTGTTCATATAAAGGGGTTTTCGGCTTGCATCCAAATGTGTTATGCTGAAATAAAGTTATTATTATTATTATTATTATTATAATAGTTATGCAATATATCTAAAGCAGACCGAAGCTTAAACTTTGCAATATACTAGCTATAAAAGGTATGTCAGATAAATATTCACTAGAATACCAACTGACTCACGAAATCGTAATGACACGATTGCAAACAAACCATACCACGGGCGGGATTGAACCCGCGGTCAGAGAGTCTCAAAATTCCAGACCGTCGCGTTAGCCACTGGACCAGCTAGCCACAGTAAGATTCGTCCAACTAGGTATATTTATACACCATAGGAAGGTTAGCATAGGCACCACTGTGACTACAAATGCAAGTTTTTACAGACGAATCTCCAGCTAGCGTGGCCGTGACGAACTCTAGCTCAAGTCCCCTCAAAGCCGTCATTACGATTTCGTGAGTCATGTTAACGGCTTTGAGGGGACTTGAGCTAGAGTTCGTCACGGCCACGCTAGCTGGAGATTCGTCTGTAAAAACTTGCATTTGTAGTCACAGTGGTGCCTATGCTAACCTTCCTATGGTGTAGAAATATACCTAGTTGGACGGATCTTATTGTGGCTAGCTGGTCCAGTGGCTAACACGACGGTCTGGAGTTTTGAGACTTTGACCGCGGGTTCAATTTCCACCCGTGGTATGGTTAGAATACCAGTTCTCGCTTCACACGGCGAGGTTCTGGGTTCGATTCCCAGCAAGGGTAGAAGCATTGGGCGTGTTTCTTTTCACCAGTTGTCAATGTTCACCCATTAGCAAAATAGGTACCTGGGTGTTAGTGGACTGGTATGGGTCGCATCCTGGGACAAGGACCTAATTTACCCGAAATGCTCAGCATAAAAAGGGGCTTTCTATATAGTAGTATATCATTGATGTCAGATAGGCCTGTATACCTTGTACATGTACTTGTAGTAAATAAAGATAAAATTATTATCACCCACAACAACAAAAAAATCGGAATATTATTAACAATAAGAAAGAATTAATAAAATGTGAGTGTGGTTGGCAGATGGCGCGTCAGTCTGCCTCAGTAAATATCCCACCAAGATGGTCCTGGAGAGCACCATAATCTGGTCAGTTGTTTCTATTTATTCCTCATGTTTTTTACAATTTCTGGCCATTTGAAGCTCTATTTCTTTTTCTTCGTTATCTTTAAGACTTCTAGTGAGGTCGTTGTTACTTGTTGAACTTGATCCAAGAGTTGAATTGTAGGTGAAAATGAAGTTTGTAGGAGAGTGAGTGGTGGTGACGGAGCAGATTTGAACTATTATCTCATCATGTGTCAAAGTTTTACTCTGTTAATTTTATATTGTTGTTTTTAAGTAAGTTATTTGGTCCTATCACCTCAAGGGAGGTTCCTTGACGTCGGTGAAGGGCTCTTGATCCAAGGAATTGAACTTGACCCCCCCCATCTTCCCTTGTGTCATACCTGGTTGCTTCTCCCCAGTGCTGTATGATCCTGACGGATTTACCTCTCTCCCCTTAATTATAATATTTTGGGCCATATTTAGTAATTATTTACCAAGAACTACTCGGCGGAACTTAGATATAATTGTACACATCAATACGTACAACCTATATATGTCTATGATCCGTGTGGGTTTAGTGCTTAGTTTTGATTGTAATAATAATAATAATAATAATAATAATAATCTATCTTTGTATACATTGGGCCAGGTGTTAGACATGCCTTGGCATTCTACATTAGAATAAATATTTAGTACTCATTTTCCATATTTCTTCCCCCCAAAAAAGTTTTCACAAGAAATGATTGTAATTGTGATATTTGATGATGTACTATACGTAGCTTGTATGTATTAAAAAGTATAAATAATGACCAGTTCCACAGAGTAGTTGTGAGCAACTACATATTACCATATATGACCCCTCAAGGGAGGGGACTTGATCATGATGAGGGACTCTTTGATTATAAGAATTTGGACCTGATCTTCCTTGGCACTGTATGACTCTGTACGTGATGAACCCCTTCCCTAAGTATGTTGGTAATTTTTTTGTTAATTTAAATATATGAGGATCATTATTAAATGTTGCTCTTCGGTGTAGTTTGGCAATAAATTAGTTTAAAATGTCCAGTATTAAGGAGGTTATTCCATACCTTTGATATACTCTTTACGAGTTTCGAGACTTTTCCTACTCCCAGAGCCCTGCCCTGGACCAGGGAAATAGGGGAAAAAATAAGAAGAAATTATGCTAGAGTTGTACTTGAATTGTAGTATATAAAATTGTTGAATTAAGTCATAAAAAGGGGCATACAAGTTTATTACGTTAACATAATTAGCTTCAGCAGATATGGGAATGGAGTATCTTTATTTTTGCTATAATTGGCCAGGTATTTCAAGCAACTTAGGTATGATTAGCCAGCTGTGTACTATACTTAAGTATACTACAGTGGTACCTCAGGATACAAACAGCTCAAAATGCAAACAATTATGTAAGTGTATTTATGTAAGTGCTTTTGTAAGTGTATTTTTGGGGGTCTGAAATGGATTAATCTAATTTGCATTATTCGTTATGGGAACAAATTTGTTCAGTATCAGCACTCGAACAGCCTTCTGGAATGAAATAGGTTCGTATCCTGAGGTACCACTCTACATGTATATATATTAATAAAATATGGGTATCTTGTTGTAAGCTTAAGACTTAAGGATGTTTTTTAACCCCTTGTTATCTAGTTAAGAGAGGTGCCTTGATACTGGTGAGCCACTTTTCCATTCTGTTAATACCTGATTACCTCCCATTCCACAGGCATTGTATAACCCCTTATGGGTTTAGTGCATCCATGTAATTGTAATGATAATTTCATAATGCTGTACTGTACTGTGAGGAAAAACATCCCTTCAAGGGGAAGGGTTATGTTGTTGCTGGTGAAGTACAGTGGACTCGGTTTTCGGCCGGTGCAGAAATCTTACAGTTCGGATTTCGAGCACTTTTTCGGTGAAATCCCCTCCCCCTGGGTTTTGTACATTGGCTCGGAAATCAATGGTACCAGATATGTTCATGACTCACTCTTGGGCACATTAAATATTTTATTTTACATTAATATCAACATTTTCATTAATCCATCAATGATATTTTCTTCAAAATTATGTAAGAAACACGTTACATAGCATATAAACATGCAGTGTTTATATGCTATCCAAGGATGGCAGTCAGTGGAAGGAAAACATTACGTTTTCTCTGGTCCAGCTTCAGAGAAAACGTGTATAAATCTGCGTTGGCCCAGTAACCGCCCATAAAGCTTTTGTTAACAGTTCCCGGCACGAATTATTCGTTACTTCTCCCTTTGTTTATGATGGCATCTAAAGGTAGTTGTTAGAAACGATTAAACTCGGTGAACATGGTATGTCGATGGTAATAATATGGCTGTATGCTGCAGTGTATGTAGCCAGTAGGTATATGCCTGGGATGTAGTCCTTCTGAGGCTACAAATAAATACTACTCGGCAACAAGAGTTTTCAATAAAGGTATGTAATGTTCATTTATCATTAAAATTAGTCATTTGCATTTATTTCTCATTGTTTTCTGTGTGTAAAACTATAGTTATTCTCTATAAAATTTATTTTTTGTTAATATTTGTGGGTGTCTGGAACGGATTAATTGGATTTACATGATTTCTTTCGGGAAATATTACATACTTCAGTTTATGTACATATCGGTTTTTGGCCGACCTTCTGGAATGGATTAAAGATGAAAACTGGAGTTCCACTGTATTTATGAATTAATTTATTGTTCAGAACTTTTAGTATAAATGCTAACTGAAATTAAACCCATATTTGATGAAAATTTATTGTGCCAGAGTGGTGGGTGCCTTGATGCTTGTGAAAGGCTCTTGATCTAAGGAATTTGAGTTATCCTCCCCTTCCTTGACTTGAACATGGTTTTACCCCTCCCACCTCTACCCCTCTACCCCTCTCCCCCCCTTCCTATTCCCAAGGCCCTATGTAAGGGGTTTAGCTCTTCCCCATGAATATAATATCCTGTATACTCATTCCTCTCCCACAGTGTGGACAACAGTGAATATATGCGGAATGGGGACTATGTTCCCACACGGCTACAGGCTCAGCAGGATGCTGTTAATACAATCTGCCGGTTTAAATTGCGATCCAACCCAGAAAATAATGTTGGCCTTTTAACACTGGCAAAGTAAGTTCACTTTTCAAGCTTTATTACATACACCATACTAATTTGGAGCAGTAGTTTAGCAGAGTAGGATTATATACACAGTTATCCAGTACAGTAAGTGCACTGCTGATCATGTCTTAGGTAAGTTGATATAAATTTTAAATATAAATTGTGGCTAAAATATTAAAGCATGTGCAGCATGTCTCGACTACCTATTTGTCTGTATTAGATACTGTATCATCTTTTGATCTATAGCCAAAATATTATGGTCAGTAATATTTGGGAGTGAAAGATTAAAGATTTGCATTCCTATTCAGGCATAGCAATATATAATAAATTTTGTCCTAATCTGTGCTTTGAGACAGGATTATAATTATTGTATAGGTTGAGATTTGCTAATACTATTTAGTTTCAATAATAAAAAATTATTATTGTGCATGTGAATAAGCATCAGTCCTATACTCTCTTAAATTTAAACCATTCAAGAGCACTGAAAAAGAATACAAACCAAGAAATTAGAAATACCCTCTCCTTCCTTGGATCACACCTGATCTCTCATTTTCCAGGTGCTGTGTAACCCTTGAGGATTTAGCTCTTCACTATAATAACAAAAATACTGTATTAGGGTAAAAATAAATTTATGCATGGATTTGGTGGTCCCGTGGGTTAGAGCGTCATGTGATTTTCGGTCACCATGAGGCAGGCCAAAATGACATGGGTTCGAGTCCTCAGCTAGTCGCAGTGTTGTTATTGACTTTAACGTGTAGCCATGTAGTTTTTGTGCAATATGTACTGCAGTTCAATACCTACATAACATATAACATCTACTACATAATGGTTAAACAAAAAATTCTCCATTTATGAAAACTTGTGTTTACTGGTAACTGTAGTAAGTACTGATATGCACAGTGGGCCCATTTTGTTATTTTATTTGTAATCCTGTGTTTTTCTTATACTGTATGATTTTTCATATTTAAATGATTATTACTTTAGGATATACAGATAAAATGCTGATTCTTTTTTCATTACAGTTGATTTTTATAAATTACCCTATGTTCTTTTGCCCAGTTTACTGTCATTTGAGTAACTTTTATTACAGCACACTTGACCAGTTAATTCATGAATATTTAGTTAGTGTATTAGATTCTGAATTGTTTACTTTTCCTTTAGCAACTCTTAAGATTTTGCAGGTCAGATTTACTCCATTGATCGGCATTTTGGCCTGGAAATGTATGTACATTAAAATGAAATAGTGAATTACTGGAGAGTTATACAAGAGCTTAGAAATGTATCCAACTCTTACCAATATTGTTTTACAGTACAGAGGTTTTGGCTACTCTAACAACCGATGTTGGAAAAATTCTGACTCCGCTACATAAAGTCTTGCCAAATGGAAACATTAATCTTCTTACTGGTATCCGTATTGCTCATGTACGTACATATTTTGATTAATAAAGATATATAATTGTGCATCTGTTTGTATATAAATGTGAAAATTTAAAATATTATTTCTTAATTGTTTTCCTTAGTCCTGAAGGCATTGCATAGTACAAATACAACAATAACTTATGATGTCATTTTATTCATTTAATAAACTATATACTGTATAATCCCTATGTACAGTTGGCCCTGAAACATCGGCAGAGCAAGAATCATAAGATGCGTATTGTAGCCTTTGTGGGGAGCCCAGTAGAGGTGGAGGAAAAGGAGATTGTCAAAGTGGCCAAACGCCTCAAGAAGGAAAAAGTCAACATTGACATCATCAACTTTGGTGAAACAGTAAGTTGTGAAGTCTTAGTGTACAGTAAACCTTTGATGTTACTTGAAAAAAAAAAAAAAAAGAGATTTTAAGCAGTTTTAGTCTGCTACCATTTTTTTTTTTTTCAAGATTTTATACAGATTATCTTTTTGCAGGATTGTAACCAGTCACTACTGGAAGCTATGGTTAGCACTATTAATGGCCGTGAGGGTGGCAGCTCTCACCTTGTCACTGTACCTCCATCACCACACTTGGCTGATGCCCTCTTGTCATCACCCATAGTGCAGGCAAGTACACTTGGAATTATTATTACCACAAAAAAATATTTATCATGACCTAAAATAGAGACAATTCGATGAGTACCTTTGCCAAGTGCCAGATCAACCAGGCTGTGATAGATATGTGGGCCAGTGGGCTTCTAGCAACAACAGCCTGATTGACCAAGCAAGAGCCAGACAAGCCTGACCCAGAACCAGACTACAGGGGCTTTTATTGTATAGTATTTAGTTTTACATGCTTTTTTTTTTTTTTTTTTTAGGATGTGACTGGACTTGGTGGTGTATATTTAGCTGTTTACTGCAATTATACATGCAGTTGTCCCTCAACTTCTGGGGTGATATATTCCTAAAGGGCTCATAAAACTAGAAACTGTGAATAATGAAAAATTAAGTTGGTATAATAAATCTTGTTCGAGATTTTGGTTCATTTTCTGTTTGAGGCCATATCTAAATAATAAACACACTGATCTAGTTAATATTGACATTCTTAACCCTTTGGGGGTTTCGGATGTACTAGTACATCTTACGACCCAGGGTTTTTGACGTACTAGTACGCCTAAATTCTAGCGCCCTCAAATCTAGTGAGAGAAAGCTGGTAGGCTTACATATGTAAGAATGGGTCTATGTGGTCAGTGTGCGTAGTATAAAAAAAATCCTGCAGCACACAGTGCGTAATGAGAAAAAAAACTAACCGTGTTTTTGGATTAAAACAGCGACTTTGCACTGTATTTTTATATGGTATTTATTATTGTATTCTAGTTTTCTTGGTCTCATTTTATAGAATGGAAGACATATTACAGAAATTGAGATGATTTTGACTGGTTTTACAATGAAAAGTACCTTGAAATTGAGCTCAAAGTAGCAGAAATGTTCAATTTTTACCAAAGTTCAAAAGTAAACAAATTATGACAAGCGTCCAATACACATCAACTGGCGAGTGTAATATTCTTTCACAAGTGCGCTGATATTATTTATACAATTTCTACACTAATGCAGTAGTCTGCATAACAGTAAATCTTAATTTTTTTGTAAGAATAAAAATTCAAAGTGGAAAGCCAAAGAAATATAAGAGGGGCCTGGGGATGTGACTAACGAACAGAGAACTTGTTATTTTAGTGCCAGGAATGTCTTTCTTGTTTATTCTGGACCCTATTCGGAAATTGGCATCTTTTGAAATTTGTGTGAAATTGGCAAAATTGCTAAATTCTGACCACTGTATTGGATAGTTGAAATCGGTAAATGTGTGGTTTCTTGTACTCATTCGATAGAAAAAAATGGAGTTTTAGCGAAATAGTTATGATTTTTGTCGACTAGTACACTGGAATTAGCTGAAAATAGGGCTCAATGTGGGCAAAATCTCCGACGCATAAACATCGTCGAGACCGCTAACTTCGCGAGAGCATAATTCCGTAAGTTTTCCATCAAATTTCATACTTTTGGTGTCATTATGATGAGGAAAAGATTCTTTATCTTTTCATAAACCTCTCTGGGTTTTCTTCTATTTTCTTTCTAGTTCTTGTTCTTGTTTATTTCCTCTTATCTCCATGGGGAAGTGGAACAGAATTCTTCCTCCGTAAGCCATGCGTGTTGTAAGAGGCGACTAAAATGCCGGGAGCAAGGGGCTAGTAACCCCTTCTGTACAAATTACTTAATTTAAAAAGAAAAACTATTGTTTTTCTTTTTGCGCCACCCTGCCTTGGTGGGATACGGCTGGTTTGTTGAAAAATCTTTTATTATTAGAGTACTGTAAATTTCTTTCATCATTATAAGCATTACTGTGTGCAAGCACTTGAGTATTTCTTGAAAGAACTGGTACTCAAGGAAACAAATACTAAATTATATTATTTTATATTATCACACCGGCCGATTCCCACCAAGGCAGGGTGGCCCGAAAAAGAAAAACTTTCACCATCATTCACTCCATCACTGTCTTGCCAGAAGGGTGCTTTACACTACAGTTTTTAAACTGCAACATTAACACCCCTCCTTCAGAGTGCAGGCACTGTACTTCCCATCTCCAGGACTCAAGTCCGGCCTGCCGGTTTCCCTGAATCCCTTCATAAATGTTACTTTGCTCACACTCCAACAGCACGTCAAGTATTAAAAACCATTTGTCTCCATTCATTCCTATCAAACACGCTCACGCATGCCTGCTGGAAGTCCAAGCCCCTCGCACACAAAACCTCCTTTACCCCCTCCTCCAACCCTTCCTAGGCCGACCCCTACCCCGCCTTCCTTCCACTACAGACTGATACACTCTTGAAGTCATTCTGTTTCGCTCCATTCTCTCTACATGTCCGAACCACCTCAACAACCCTTCCTCAGCCCTCTGGACAACAGTTTTGGTAATCCCGCACCTCCTCCTAACTTCCAAACTACGAATTCTCTGCATTATATTCACACCACACATTGCCCTCAGACATGACATCTCCACTGCCTCCAGCCTTCTCCTCGCTACAACATTCATCACCCACGCTTCACACCCATATAAGAGCGTTGGTAAAACTATACTCTCATACATTCCCCTCTTTGCCTCCAAGGACAAAGTTCTTTGTCTCCACAGACTCCTAAGTGCACCACTCACTCTTTTTCCCTCATCAATTCTATGATTCACCTCATCTTTCATAGACCCATCCGCTGACACGTCCACTCCCAAAAATCTGAATACGTTCACCTCCTCCATACTCTCTCCCTCCAATCTGATATTCAATCTTTCATCACCTAATCTTTTTGTTATCCTCATAACCTTACTCTTTCCTGTATTCACCTTTAATTTTCTTCTTTTGCACACCCTACCAAATTCATCCACCAATCTCTGCAACTTCTCTTCAGAATCTCCCAGAATTATCATTATTAATTATAAATTAGCATCAGTGTGTACAATACAGTAAAATAAAATGTTCTGTGTTTTACCAGGGTGAGGATGGAGGACCTGCTGCCAGCTTTGCTACTGGTCAAGGCTTTGAGTTTGGTGTTGATCCAAATGAAGATCCGGAACTGGCACTAGTGAGTGAACCTTTACCTGTTAATACTGCCTTTTCTGTGTATGTTACCTTTGTATTACTGGTGTGAATTTTAAATGTTGGGTGTGATTATTTAAATAATTGCATCCTATTTTTCTCTGTTTATCATCAGTGTGTGGTGTGCTTAAGGTATTAGGTCCTTCAGTCCCTTGCATAAAAGGGCACAAAGGATTTGTCAACTGGGACTGTCGGTCATGATAGTATTATGGTTCTACCCCCTGTAAGGGAGTGTGTCTTGATTTGAAGGGCTTTTGATCCAGGATATTGGAGCTAATCTTCCAATCATATCTGGTTACCTCTCCTTCCCCAGGTGTTATATGACCCTTACAAGTTCAGTGTTTCCCCATGACTATAACATGGTTTTACCCATGATTTTAACTTTGCTATGGACAATGCATTTCTCCAAAAAAATAAAAATAAGGTTTTGAGCACCACTTGCTATAGTACATATAGTACAGTATATCATTCTCTTCATCACTTAAGGCTTGAGTCTTTGAAAAAATGAATGGATTACATACAGTTGGAAGTGACAGGGGCTTGAATATTCAGCAAGCATCTGAGAGTATTTTCATCTGGAGTGAGTGGATGTAAGCAATCTGTAAGATTTGGCATTATCTTCGAGTGCTAATGTGATGATGCTTATGAAGAAACCTTGTGAACATAACATACAAAATTTGAGTTATATTAATTGAGAAGAACATTGTCTATACCCTGAAAGTGGTGTGGAAAGGTCATGGTCAAGTGTTATAATGTTGGACTGCAGTGTCTATTGCTGGAAAGGCACCTAATGAGTATGATGAATGTTATTGTTTTGTTCACCCTGCATTTGTAGGAAATGTTTCTGCTTGCTTATGTTTTGTGTACTGTTTATCAGGCTCTGCGTGTATCTATGGAAGAACAGCGGCAACGACAACAAGAAGAGGAGCGGAGAGTTGCTCAGGAGTCAACGACGGCTGTAACGCCCATGGAAACAACACCCAAGGCACCCACAACAACTCCAACTCCCCAGACCACAGCACCAACTGAGGGTGAGATTAACATGTACTGTAATTATATACTCTATATGTATCTGTAATGGCTGTACATCTCTGTTGAGAGCAGTCAGTTGTCATGTGTTACAGTATCATTACTAATTTTCATGGGGTTAGAAGGCATCCAATCAAAAGATAATGAATTATATCTAAATTGGCTATAAAAATGATTAATTTCCATCTAGCCAAATATTTGTAGTTCATCTTAAAAATATTTAAAAAATATATAACAATTCAACTATGTTGCAGATGTTGTAAATGTATGAAATAGATGTACATTAGGTTACTAAAAGCAGTAATTGAGTTTTTGAGAAGAGTGAGGCTGAGACTAGGCATTTAACATTAATGTGTAATATCACTATGGTTGTTTAATATATTCATAGATAAGGGTTGCAAAAGAAGTGAATACTTGGGTGTTGAGTTGAGGTGTGGGGACAAGAAGATAATGAATCTGATGTAAAATGGGAGGTGTCAGAGTTACACTTTGCTAATGACATAGTTCTTTTAGGATAGTGAAGAGAAGTTGCAAGGGTTACTGGTAGAATTTGGGAGGGTGTGTAAAAGAAGGAAATTAAAAGTGAACATAGAAAAAGAGCAAGATAATATTAGATTACGAGAGAGAGTTTGTGGGGGAAGTGAATACATGTAGAGATTTGGAAGTGGATGTTACATCAGACGAGTCTCTGAAAGACAAGGTGGACCTTAGAATAGACATAGGGAAAAAGACAGTATGTTGAAGCATCTGTAGAATGAAAGTAGGCTATCTGTGGGGGCAAAAAAGGAATGTACTACCATATGGTGGTACTAACACTTTTATATGGGTGAGGCATGACCTTAAAAAATTACAGTGATGAGTCTGGAGGGAGAGGAGATGCCATGTTCAGGAGCAATGTGGGGTAATTATTATGCAGGAAATTTGGAATGTAAGAGTAAAAGATGGTGTAGGGTAACTCAGAGGGTGGAGGTGAGGTTGAGATATTTTGGTCAATTAGAAAAGGCAGGCAGAATAGAAGAATCAAGGCAGTGTTTAACTCTAGGTTGCAAGGAGGAGATAGGGGTCATCCCAGGAAGAGTTAGATGTAGGGTGTATAGGAGGTTTTAAGTGGTAGGGGCTGGAGTTTCTAGAAAGTGTGTGGGGGGGAGAGAAGGGGTGTTTCTTTTTGTTTGTTAGATCAATGGAGAGAAGAGTGGTTTTTTTTTATATTTGATGTTCTGTTGGAGTGTGAGAAAGGTAACATTTTGTGAAGGGACTCTGGGAAACTGGTTAGCTAGATTTGAGACCTGGAGGTGGTAAGGACAGTGCCTTCACTGTTAGGAAAGGGTGGGAGTGTTGCAGTTCATAGTCATTTCAATGATAGTATCTGGGTATGTCAGGCAAGACAACCTTTAACCCTTAAACTGTCCAAACATAGATCTACGTTCACATATGTAGTGCTCCAAAAATAGATATACGTTTTTTTTTACATATTTTCAAATACAGTGGACTCCCGACTTGCGATATTAATTCGTTCCAGAAGACTGTTCGGGTGCCGTTACCGAAAGAATTTGCTCCCATAAGGAATATTGTAAATTAGATAAGTCCGTTTCAGACCCCCAGAAATACACTTACAAAAGCACTTACAAAAATACACTTACATAATTGTTCGAGTTGGGAGCTGATCATAAGTCGGGGGTCCACTGTATAACAAAAAAAAAATGTAGATCAAAGTTTTTTTACACGCTTTCAAATGTAAAAAAAAAAAAAGAAGATCTATGTTTTTTACATACTTTCAAATGTTGAAAAAACTTGGATCTACATTTGGACAGTTTAAGGGTTAAATAGAGATTTTTTTTTTTTTTTTTTTTGGGGGGGATATCTTTATCCTGCATTGGCAGATGACTAGTTAAGAAAAAATCTCATTTATTGATGTTCTGGTTTACTTCAAATAATTTTCTAACTTTTGAAGTCGGGATTAACTAAATATTCAAGTTACATTGGGAGGTTATGTTAAGACCTAAAGTCTATATTTCTAATGATTGAACCTTTCTTAGTGATGTTGGTACATCAGTATGCTTACTTTGAAAATATAGCAGATGGCAGCAGTATATTGTACTTACCTTATGGCTGTTGATTATTTTATTTTTGTTGCTATAGCCTTAAATTTTTGTCAGTTATTTTCTCTTGAAAGCAGATATACATTAATTAAACTACTAATAAATATAACTAATATTTTTAAACAGGGGGTCAGTCTGAAGAAGAAATGCTTCAGCAGGCGTTGGCCATGTCCCTGGAAGCAGGGGCTTTGCCACAGACGGCTGGTGCTACAGTTACACCCTCTCCAGGAAGTGCTGTTGCTAGCAGTGGTTCAGCCAGTAGTGCTGGCAAGGGCAGTAGTTCAGGTGGCAGCTTTCCCTCTACAGCCATCCCAGATTTCTCTGCAATGACTGAAGAGGAACAGATAGCATATGCTATGCAAATATCCATGCAAGATTGCAGTAAGTTTTATACATTAATTTATTGCCCATTTCTTATCAAGGCTGTGACCTAACAGCAGATTCACCATCACATCTTCCAAACACCCTTCCTCCTAATACTTTCCATCATGATGCTCCCACCCTAGTACTGTTCTTTACAAATGATAGAGAACTACATAGTATAAGGCTGCAAAAAGACCTAGATAAATGGGAATAATTGAAAAATTTAAAGAAGTTAATCACACCAAGTGCAAATTTAGCTTGTATGTTATAAGAAAGGTTTCCCAATATCCCATAATCCCTCCCCCTGACCTCAATGCATGCAAAATGAATAATACAGAGTGCACCCGAGTTTCTAATGCAGTCAGAAGAGGCATTCACAAGTTATAGTATGGAAACTAATATCCCAATTTCTTCGTTAAATAATGGTAGATTAACAGCAGTACAGCCCAAAACCAATTTGAACCTTTCACTAAGACACACCAGCTTTGATAGTTTAAAGCCGGTCAGAAAAGGCATTCTCTAGTGATCCAAAATGTAACAGCACTGCAAGTTTTATAGTCCTCTCAGAAGTTGCATTCTCAGGTTATTTACAAGCACTGTAGCTGCTACCCTGTTTGTAAGATGCTTCAATCATTAACCCTTTGACTGTTTTCGACGTATAAATACGTCTTACGAGCCAATGTTTCTGACGTATATATACTCAATAATTCTAGCGGCTTCAAATCAAGCGGGAGAAAGCTGGTAGGCTCACATGTGAGAGAATGGGTCTGTGTGGTCAGTGTGCACCACATAAAAAAAATCCTGCAGCACACATTGCGTAATGAGAAAAAAAAACTCTGATCGTTTTTTTGGAATAAAACGCCGACTTTGAGGTGTATTTTCGTATAGTATTTATCGTTGTATTCGCGTTTTCATGGTCTTAGGTGATAAAATGGAAAACATATTACAGAAATAGAGATGATTTTCATTACTTTGACGATGAAAACTACCTTGAAACTGAGCTCAAATTAGCGGAAATGTTAGATTTTTACCAATGTTCAGGAGTAAACAAATCACACCACACGTCCAATACACATCAACTGGGGAGTCTAATATTCTTTCACTAGTGCACTGATATTATTTATACCATTTTTACAATAATGCGGTAGTCTGCATAACAGTAAATTTTGTACTTTTTTGTATGAATAAAAAATCAAAATAGAAAGCAATAATAATATAAGAGGGGCCTAGAGATGTGACTAATGAACAGAGGATATGCTATTTTAGTGCCAAGAATGTCTACCTTGTTTATTCTGGACCCTATTTTGAAATTGGCATCTTTTTTAATTTGCGTGAAATTGGCCAAATTGCCAATTTCTGACCACTATATTGGGTAGTTCAAATTGGTAAATGGGCAGTTTCTTGTACTCGGCTGATAGATAAAATAGAGTTCTAAAGAAATAGCTATGAGTTTGGTCAACTGGAACAACGAAATTGGCTGAAAACAGGGCTCAAAGTCGGCGAAATCACCGATACATGTATGTCGCCGATTCCGCTAACTTTGCAGGAGCATAATTCCATGAGTTTCGACCAAATTTCGAACTTTTGGTGTCATTACCATTGGGGAAAGATTCTCTATCATTTCATAAGAAAAAATAGTTTTTTTTTTTTTGAATATTTGGCGACATAGAATGACAGTTTCAGAAAGGGGCCTGAAACAGTCAAAGGGTTAAAGATTGAAGCCATTCAGAAAAGGCATACTCAAATTATTTCATGGAAAAATACCACCATATTTAAAATAAAACTGGTAACTTGGCACCTGCATACTCTAATAACAATCCCAACCTGTGAAGCAGGATAAACCAACGTTGAAAGTTCAATGCTGAGAGAAAAGGCTTTCTCAGGTTATCGCGCACACCATAAATCTGGATTGATTTATATAAAACTATCTAGAGGGCACCTGCACTTGCCGATAGTCTCCAGAACTTTTTCGTGGTTTCAGTACTTTCAAGGACACTGTGCTCCAAGTTTCTGACGCGATCATGATAATTATGCGAAAAATATGATTTTGGGTTTTGTTTACAGAAAAAGTGTAAATATCTGGAAACATTTTGATGAAAACCCCATTGTAATACGATGTTTCTAAAGCAAATTATAGCTACTTGAAGCATGTCAGGTGACAACCCACCAGGTAAATATATGCGTAAGTGCGAGGTGAATTTTTTTTATATATTTTTTGTTTGTTTTTTAATTTTGTCTATTTTTCTTTCTAATACACTAAATTTACCACTTAATATTATTACAATGTGGGAGGAACTTATATCAGAGGTGGGAGGAGCTTGCATGATGGTGCAACAACCAGTTGCTGTGACAACAGTTTGATCACCACTCACAAGATGTCTTATACTGACGTTATTATTACTAATATCCTTTTTCTGCTTATATCATTTATTCAGTAGTGATTGTATGCATAATATAACTTGGATAAACACATAAGAAAGCCAGCCAAAATAATAATAATTGTATATTATACCCAGAGGTGGTGGCTGACTTTGATGAAATGATTACATCAGACCCTCCCTATAAGAGAAGAGTTTTCTGTTACCTCTGGTAGCACTACAGAAAACGGCGTTTTTAACACGGAAAACAATAAGAAATCACTTATATCGCATAAATAAACCCAAAGTAGCGCGATTTTCGTTTTTTTTTATTTTAAAATTGATGTAATTTGCTAGTCCTCGGGTTTACCTGAATATCTCAAAACTAGGATTTTGGTCTATTGCTTGTCACTGTGCCATTATTAATGATTGGATTGAAATGATTTTCACAGACAATATAAAACAGTGTGTTTGAATATATTAAAGTGAGTTGTTTGAAATATCTCAAATATTTATGATTTTGTGGGGGGTAAAAGGCAGATATTTTGGTGAATGTCAAAAAAGCGCACCAAATTTTTTTTTTTTTCACCATAATAATAAGGTATATTAGATGAATTGTATCCATTAAATATTTGTTTTAGACGTATTCTAACAGTTAGAATTGTCGGAAGTGTCACTCGTAGTGCCAATTTGTCATGCCTTGCTGCCATATGTCAAAATCAGTAAATATTTTTTTCTCCATTGTTTGTTGACCAATCATTTTGAAACTTTGTCATATTTATTTACGTATGCACTTCTAAACGTACAGCAAAAATAAAAGAAATTGGGCGAAAAATAAAGGAAGGGAACGAAATTGGAGCAGTGTCCTTCAACAAACCGACCGTATCCCACTGAGGCAGGGTGGCCCAAACAGAAAAACAAAAATTTCTCTCTTCAATTTTAGTAACATACACAGGAGAAGGGGTTACTAGCCCCTTGCTCCTGGCATTTTAGTCGCCTCTTACGACACGCATTGCTTACGGAGGAAGAATTCTGTTCCACTTCCCCATAGAGATAAAAGGAAATAAACAAGAACAAGAACTAGTAAGAAAATAAAAGAAAACCCAAAGGGGTGTGTGTATATGTACGCTTGTACAATCATGTGTAGTGTGTCCTAAGTGTGAGTAGAAATAACATGTTTGCATGTTTGTGAGACAAAAAAGATACCAGCAATCCTACCATCATGTAAAATAATTACAAGCTTTGTTTTACACTTGGCAGGATGGTATTACAGTGGACCCCCGAGTTTCGTGATTAATCCGTTCCAGAGAGCCCGCCGAAGGTCGAAATTCACGAAACTCGAAACCATTTTCCCCATAAGAAATAATGGAAATAAAATTAACCCGTTCCAGACACCTAAAAATATTAAAATAAAATATTTTTTTTCAAATTAAATAAAGATTTACATAATGAAAACATTATAACATTATAATAACATTATAATAACATTACACTTACCTTTACTGAAGACTTCTGGGTGGATGGAAGATGGGAGGAGGTGATAGGAGGAAGGTATACACTATTGTTTGGAAGGAGAATCTCCTTCCATTAGGACTTTAGGTAGCAAGTCCTTATCTGGGGTTACTTCCCTTCTTCTTTTAATGCCACTGGGAACAACTTGAGAGTCACTGGACCCCTGGCGCACAAAATATCTATCCAGAGAGGTCTTTTTCTGGCGTTAAAGATTTCCCTGAAGTGGGACACAACACTGTCATTGTACATGTTGCAGATACAGCTTGTTTCAGCTTGGTCAGGGTGATACTTTTCAATAAAACTTTGCAACTCATTCCACACATGTCCTTAATCACTGAAGAAGGCACCTCATCCACTCCCTCTTCCTCCTCCTCTGAAGCAAGTTCCTTGGCTGTGGTCTGATGCTGTTCCAGTTGAAGCTCTTGCAGTTCGTCAGCAGTTAGCTCTTCCTGTGGTCCTCCACCAACTCTTCCACATCCCTGTCACTCACTTTATTTACCTAAGGGCTTGCACTAGCTTTCCTTGGGTCCTTGATGACTTATTTAGCAGTTGCAAGCCCCAAAAATAATGGATTATTATGAAAGGTATGAACCCGCGGGGTGATGGTCACGTGTTGGTAAACAATGGCACACTGAGCGTGAATGGCGTGGGAAACTGGCTTTGTGTGAGTGGTGACGGGTACCGGACAGTCACCGAAACACGAGTTTTTTCACGAAACTCGAGGCCAAATTTTTCCCAAAAAACTCGCCGAAGGTCGAATTTCACGAAAGTCGAGGCTGCCGAAACTCGGGGGTCCACTGTGCTTCCCTGGGCAGTTGCTGTCTACCAACCTACTACCTAGTCCAATACTTGAGCACTGAAAATTTTAACCCAACTGGATAAGGCTTTATAAAGTTATAAACAAAAACATTGGAGGAGGGGAAAAAAAAGTCAATCGTTATAACTCTTCAGAGATACGTATTTAACCCGTAAACGGTCCAAACGTATATACGTATAAATTTTGTCAACATTTGAAAGTATGTTAAAAAAGTAGATCATCTTTTTGTATTTTTACATATGAGAACGTGTAAAAAACTTTGATCTACGTGTTTTTTTTTTTTTTTTTTTTTTTGTTATTGAAAATGTGTAAAAAAAACGTAGATCTACTTTTGGAGCAATACACGTATGAACGTAGATCTGCTTGGACCGTTTATGGGTTAATGTAGTTGGGAGATGATGGAAGGAATTCAGAAACTCTTGAGTATTAAATTAGATGAAGGGGGGAAAATGCTTAGGAGTAACAATTGCATCACACTGTTTTCCACTGATAAATGATAAATGCTAGGCAGGCATACTACAAGAATGCTTCAGAAATGTATATGAATAGAGAAATGAAGCTGAACAGTCTAACAAAAATTAAGAATTGACACCAGCAGATGACCATAAAGACAATTTACTAACAATCAGGTAAGTTAGGAGGATGAATGTAGAAAAAGGCATTAAGTGGCAGGGACTTTTAATTAGTGGAGTATTTGTTGTTCAGTCAGAAATTATAAATTTAAATAGTATTAGGTATTTTATTTTTTTGTCCATGGGGAAGTGGAAAAGAATTCTTTCCCCATAAGCTATGCGTGTTGTAAGAGGCAACTAAAATTCCAGGAGCAAGAGGCTAGTAACCCCTTCTGTGTAAATTACTCAATTTAAAAAGAAAAACTTGCGATTTTGTTTTAGGTCACCCTTCCTCAGTGGGATACAGCCATATTGATGAAAAAAAAAATTATTTTAAATTTAATTATTTCTGAAACTATGCCATTCCAGAACCAAAGGAGGAGCCAATGGATGTTGATCCACCTACATCTGCTGCTAAGCCTGCAGAAAGCTTGAAGGTTTGTTGTCATAATCTTTTGAGAAGTATGTACATTTGAGTTGCTATTTTGCAGTTTGTTAATGCACATGTAAGTCTTTGTGTAAATTTTGTATAGACACGCAATTCTCTCACATCCAGAGATTACATTTCAGAAAATCAGCATGCAAGTTCAAAATAACGTTAACTGAAGTTGAGTAGTTTTGGGGGAAAATGGGGTTATGTACTAGACACCTCAAAATTTGTTAAACATATTTGGTGTGAAGCTTGGGTTGTAAATGCTGCAGCGAGGAGGCAGCAGGAGGCAGTGGAGATGTACTGTCTAAGGGCAATGTGTGGTGTAAATATTATGCAGAGAATTCAGAGTGTGGAAATTAAGAGGAGGTGTGGAGTTACTAAAAGTATTAGACAGAGGACTGATGAGGGGTTATTGAGGTGGTTTAGTCATTTAGAGAGAATGGATCAAAGTAAAATGACTTGGAGAGCGTATAAATCTATATGGGAAGGAAGGCGGGGTAGGGGTCGTCCTCAAAAAGGTTGGAGGGAAGGGGTAAAGAAAGTTTTGTGGGCGAGGGGCTTGGACTTCCAGCAAGCATGCGTGAGCATGTTCGATAGGAGTGAATGGAGACAAATGGTTTTCGGGACCTGACGAGCTGTTGGAGTATGAGCAGAGTAATATTTTGTGAGGGGATTCCGAGAAACCAGTTAGTTGGACTTGAGGAGGGTTTTGGGATATTGCCAGTTTGGAGGGACTTCTGAACTGTCATATCTGAGCACCTCTTCAAAGACAGTGATTATGTATGCTTGAGGTGAAAGTGTTGAATGATGATGAAAGTATTTTCTTCTTGGGGATTTTCTTTGTTTTTTTTGGGCAGCCTGCCTCTGTAGGAAATGGCCAATGTGTTAAAAAAAAAAATTTGGTTTACTATTGTATTTGGTAAAAATACTACAAAAGGGTTGATGTTGGTCTTCTGGGTTGAGGTGGATGGCTGTGGTTCTAGTGTTGATGTTGAATTAAGAGTTATCAGTAGTTGATGGCTGTTGTGGAGGGCTTATGTATTCTATAATGCATCTGTGGTTTGTATGTTTTACCCTGCAACACTTTATAATATTATAGAGTTTATAATTAGGCATCATTGCTTATGCTAGAACCTACTTCTGACCACTGCTTCTTGATTTTCAGAATCCTTTTCACCGACACATTCTACAGTTTTCCAGTAATGTGGATTGCTCTTGTAACTCTTGCTGTGTTAACTGTTTAGCTTCAGGTTCTTCTTATATTCCAGCAGGAACCGAGTGCCTCTAGCAGTTAAGCTTTTGGTTCACCATCCTCTTCTAATAAATAATTTACTTCACATTGTTTGTCACAGTTCTTGCCCTAGCCACAATTTCTTGGACCTGATTCTTCACTGAAGGGGAAAAATAGAGAAATTATTTACCACAGAAGGCCATAAATTACCCCAGCCTGCATCTATGGTTGATTGGAGCACTTCATCCCGTGACACTTTTACATATCTTGTGTAGGCGCATCTGTAATGTTAAAGTTACTCCAGAATTTTGGAGTAAATATAACATGTCCTGGAGTTGCCTTCCATTGCTGAGTTTTTTCATAATGTGTGTGTGTGTGTGGTGGCAGTTTATTGTTTTAATAATGCCTCTATCTGGTGGCTGTATTGAAGAAGTCATATTTGGGTGGAATAAGCATAACTCTCACATTTGTGTTCAGAGACTTAAGTGCAGGAAAATCTTCACTGCAGGAATAAAATAATACTTGAACCATTCAACAAACAGGACCTCAGTTGTTCATGCTACCTTATTAGGCTGTCAAATAATGAACAAGCACTGAGATTCTCTATATGTTTGATAATCAGTGGCTTACACTTGAAATCACCTGTTGCATTTGTGCACAGAAGCAAGCTGAAGTAACCCCTCAACTACTTTGAAATAAAGTGCAAATTTTTCTTCCTTGCTAATGTGAATGCTCCTCTTCAAGGGGGGCTCCTTGGCGTGGTGAAGAGGCTCTTGGTCTGAGGAATTAGACCTATCGGTCTTCTTCCTCAGACCGAACCTAATTACCCCCCAATCTCCCCTCCCCTATCCCATCCTCCCCATCCTCCCCTTTTTCCTTTCCTCCTCCTCCTCCCCACTCCTCCCTTTTGCCCTTCCTCTTTTTGTCCTTTGGGATTTCTCCCACAGGCGTGCTAGTTCCTAGGTAGGGGAAAGGACACCGGGGTCCATCCCATTCCGTTGAGGTTTCTTGGCGGTGGCGTAGTTTGCCGTGGAATCTGGATTGCCTAGGGATGTCCGATCCCTCTCCGGTATCCCGGAGTAGCTTTGGGTGTCTTTAGGGCGACGGGTGTATCTCTGGAAGCCACCTTTCGGATTCCGGGGGGGGTGGCTGAAGGAGGTATGCTTGTGGCGGATATACCGGGCCGCCCTCTGTGTCTTTTGTCCACCGAGGTACTCGGGCAGATGTGGAAGTTGCTATCCCAGAATGCTGGTTTTACTGGCATGAAGGGATAGGGTATGGCCGGGTTTCCCCATGCTGCATCAGCGCTACTAGCGTGTCCGAGTCCTCCTTGGCGCGGTGATGGAGATTTCGGCCCTTGTCATTCCTCCTAGGAAACTATCCCACCCCGTTCCCCCTTTTTTTTTTTTCTTTTATTTATTTTGTATTTCTTTTCTTCTTTCATTTTTTTTCTTAAAACAAAAAGAAAGAAGTAACCTCAACCATGGCCAGCCCTAGTCCATGAACCTGGTAACCCCGGCCCCTTCCTTGATAGCCGCACCCCCGTTCTTACCCTGGCCTCGTCTTTGGACCACTCTTCAACTAATTCCTCATGCCTCTGTACCTATAGCCGTGCTGTTTCCTCAGCCTCTACAGGTACTGAGCCTTCGACTGACTCCTTCGGATTAACAGACCTTGCGCGTCTCCTCCTGACTATGCTTCCGGCCTCTCCCTCTACGGTGCGGCAAAATTTTCATCGCCACCCTTTCCACGTCGGGAACAACCAACTCTGTCCCGACGCCTAAACTCAACGACAATTACCTGCTGATGATACCTTCTCCACCTACACCTTCCGTTCGTTCTCAGAAAACGATCCGACACGTTCCTCCACTACCTTTCCCAAGCTCAGTTTCAGACTGAACAGTGACTAAATTCTCACTTTAACGGACCAACTTCCTCTACTGCCCTATCTTTCTGACATCGTATTGCAAAGGCACCCTACGCCATGTGTTAAAGAATTTGTCTTTTCATGCTCTTTAAGAGCGGTACGCGCATCAATTACCGTACAGAATGCTACCGCGAGGGCTCCGTGAGCTTCTTCTCGTCTTTTCCCAATATAGATTACAGTTTCCTGTCCCCTTGAAAAACATCATTCCCTCATTCTTGTAGTGTATATCGTACCGTTATTCTGCCCATAAACCATAGTTCAACAAAATTTGTTTCCATAACATGTGGCCACCGACATTCTAGAACAAGCTGAACTCCAAGATCATCCCATCCTCAAGGTAGACACTTACTTCTTCTTGCCTGCCCGTGGGGCGGAGACATAATACCCTAGCACGCATGTGGCTCGTTTAACTTTTGACAGCCGAGAACAGTCACCAATCCTCAGTTTATATACAGGACATCGGTTACAGTTCGAAAGGTGATCCCTACACCTCAACAGTGTAGAAATTGCTGGCGATTTGGCGCATCCAGCGAAATATTGCAGAATCTAAGCTATCGCCGAATGCCCAGTCGTGTGCCGATGACCAATTCTAAAATACTCTTGCAATCGATCACCCACTTGGCCTAAGCATGAGGCTCACCCTTCGTACTCACGCCGTTGTCATTCTATTTAAACAGTCGGGTAAATCCGTTAACCTCAAAGAGACAGAAGGTCCCCCTTATGCCATTGGCAGTTTCTCATCTCCGCCTCCAAGGAGACTCCCCTCTGTGTTTCGTTATTCCCTGTGTGTTCAAAACGTCCCCACCCACATCTGGATATCCCAACTTCTATACACCCACCTCTGAGGTATTACCTCTCCCATAATCACTGCACTCCTGTATCTAATCTCTTGTTGCTGTCCTCGCTCAGACGTCCCTACTTCAACGCCTCATTCTAATCTCGCTTCTTCGAGTCTCCTTAACAAGCCAAGCAAAGCCTCGGTATCCGACGAGACGGATCAGACGACACATCTTCCCAATCAGTCCCTCTACTCTACCTTTTCTCAAAAGTCCAAAAAAAAGGTCCGGTAACACCACCCTACCCATCTTCCACCTCCTCATTTTACCCTCCCTTCTCTGTCCCTAGTTCTTCCCCTCTCACAGGGCTCAGTTACAAGTGCAGAGGACACCCTCCTTCCGTCGAAATGTACCTTCCTCCCCTGTTCCCTCCCAAGTTTCTTCCTCTTTCTGCCACCTCCGCAGGTTCCTGTCGCACTTCTGTCCCTGCCACGCTTCTTTCACCAAGTTTCCCCTCCACCCTTTCGCCCCCCCCTACCTTGGTACAGTCCAAATACAGTTCCAATCTTTAACTCATCCCCCCCTACCATTCCCAATATTTGTCCTCCCCATACGACATGCTCTGAATTCCGAAACACGTGAAGCAATCTCTGAATATATTGCAGAGACCAAACCATCAATGGACCAACTGATCCACCTTCCGCCTCGTTCTCTCTCCGCTCTGCTCCATCTGCGCAACCTCCTTCTCACAGCGCACCTACCTTCGCTGGCTTGTAAACATTTCCACTGCTCCGCATGTGGACATTTCTAACCCTTTCTAGTCCGTAGGAACCCCTTACCTGCGGATGTTCAAGTATCTTTAACAATGCCACTCATGGCCTCTACATTGGAATAAACGCGGCCTCAGGGGTTACGGGGTGAGCTTCAGACGTTACACTCCCAGTTTGCCCTGTTTGGTGTTTGCTTACAGAACCAAAATTACACTCTGCGGTTATTTCTCACATCCCTCCAGGCTAATAATTTATTGTATTCTTCAGATCCTTTTCCAGATGGGACCTTTAATGAAAGTG